ATACCCTGGAATCTCTCACCCCCAACAGCTGTCTCTTCGGGAAAATTGGGAATCCTGGGGGGAATTGAGAAAGGAAAGGGCAAGTTGCTGGGGCAAGCGGTGAGGGATGCAGAAGGAGGATCTGAGCATGCTGGGAGGGAGTTGAGAGAAGAGGCTTTTTACTGAGAGTCTCAAACAGATAGATGTTTTTCTTGTCTCCAAAGCATGCTGGGTGCAGCAGCACGGCTTGTGGGGCTGAACAGGGGGTTCAGTGCTGGATGATCCCTGCTGTCTGTTCACCAGCCTTACTGGTGAAGGTCCCCTAGCATCTGTTCCTTTCCCATGCCCTTGCAGGCAGCAAGCTGCAATCCTGGAGGACTTGGTGAGAAACGTGCCCCTGGAGTTTGATTTCCTCTTCTCCAAATCACACGCAGAAGTAATCTCAGGGAAACAGGAAGGTAGGAGCTACCACAGAGCACTGCTTGGTGTTCTTTAGTATATTGTCATAATTACATTTTCTATCTTGTGCAGGTGTCTATGCTTGGATTGGCATCAACTTTGTCCTGGGACGGTTTGATCACGAGGATGGTGAGTCTGGCTGCTTGTAGAACAGCTGGGAGGGTCTGATCAGAGCCCTGCTGGACTTTGCCTCAGTGCTGGAGCTAAGAGCAACCTCTGGAGCAGGCAGCAATGCCTGACCCCAGTCGTATGTGTGAAATGGATCTGGGACTTGGAGGAGCCTTGCCCTGGTCACAGGTTACTGTGTGAGGGGGCCATCTGCAGCATTTTGGGAGAAGAACCAGGGAGAGAGGGTTCGTGCTAGTGTTTCTGTAGTGGCTTCTACCTGTGGATGCCTTGGGGGAATCTTCAAAGCCAGGGTGTGGCCAGTCCTGAGTGCCAGGACCCGGCAGCTGTGGGCGGTAATGGTGGAAGGGAGGAGATACTGCCTCAGGCCTTGCCCCTCTCTGACATGCTGCTGTGGGTTGCAGAGGAGGATGCAATGGTCACTGTGGCGCTGGGGGACCAGGGGAAGTCCCTGGTTCGGAAACGAACAGTTGGGATCCTGGACATGGGAGGTGCCTCCCTGCAGATCGCCTACGAGGTGCCCGACTCCGGAGCTGTCTCCTCCCCTCAGCAGGTGCGTGTGTGCCTGGTTGGCCCCAAGACAGCCCCTGCCTTCCCTGGGTTGCGCTGATCAAGGGCCTCTCTGCGTCCCTAGGAGGAAGCTGCTAAGAGCTTGCTGGCAGAATTCAACCTGGGCTGTGATGTGCAGCACACTGGCCACGTGTACCGTGTCTACGTCAACACCTTCCTGGGCTTTGGGGGCAATTTTGCCCGGCAGCGCTACGAGGAGCTGGTGCTGAACCAAACCTATGTGCACAACCGGTATTGCTGCCTCACCTAGCGGTGCCCCTGCTGGGGCATTGTGAAATGAGGTGCTGGTTCCTTCATGCTGCCCTCTCCCCCCTGAGTGTGTCTCAAAAGCTGCCTGTGGCAATAACAGCTCCCACAGCCACGTTGGCAGCAGCAGGTGCCTGGGCTGGCACAGGGTGTATGGGTGCTGCCCTTTTCCAAGTCTGGCAGGCGTTAGCAGTGCCACAGCTCCCTGCCTTCCTCCTTCTCTCCTGGTAACAGGCTAGGGGGGAGCTCCTTTAGTGGCTTTTGGCTTTTCCTGCTCTGACTTTCCCTCCTTCTCCAGCACCGATTCACTCAGCAGATCTTTCCATTGCGTCCCCACCTCGAGCTCTCTGTCTCCTGTCTCTCCTTTCCTTCCAAGAGCACTACGTGAAGCTGTTGCCAGAGGTGGAGAGGCTTGGTGCCCAGGTACTCCGGTGCCGGGAGCAAACTGCCTCCAGATCCCCAGGGGCTATGCAGGGGCACAGATTCCTGTGAGCTGGGTGGGATGGGCTGTGCCTTGTTGCACCCTACAGGTGCTTGGAGCATGTAGCTGCAGGTCAGCGTGACAGGTCTGGCGAGTTCAGCTTGGCAAGAGGTGGCAGGGCAGGCGCCAGCACTGCAGCATACAAGGGGACACAGCCTGGTCTGGTGTAAGGGGGATCTGGATGTGGGACAGTGCTAGACTAGGTTTTTGGGAGGTAGTATATAACTCCCTGGGCAACTGCTGTTCCTTTCTGGACTGTTTTCCAGCCTGCACAGCCAGCAGACAGGGCTGAGCCCCAAGATGCCCTTCCTGGACCCCTGCCTACCTGTGGGACTGGAGGACACGGTGACGAGGGGTGGCCAAACCCTGTACGTGCGGGGACGAGGGGACTGGCAGGCCTGTGCAAAGCTGCTGCAGCCCCTCCTGGCAGGGTCCAACAGCAGCCAGGACTCCCTGCTGGGGGCCTACAAAGCACCCATCGACTTCAGCAACAGCGAGTTTTATGGCTTCTCTGAGTTCTTCTACTGCACCGAGGACGTGCTGCGCCTGGGGGGTCAATACAGTGCCCCCATCTTCACCTCCGCTGCCCAGGTGGGTGCTGCCCCAGCCCAGGGGCTGGGAAGCTGCTGTATCTGGGACTGGGAGTGAGGGTTGTTTCTCTGCTCTGAACCCCACCTTCTCCTTGTGGCAGGAGTACTGCAGCCAGCGGTGGGAGGTGCTGACCCAGCGTTTCCGTGGTGGCCTCTACTCGGCACATGCTGACCAGCACCGGCTGAAGTAAATGGATTTGCTGGGGGATGCCATGGCTGGACCTCCTGGGAGGCTTTTGCTGTGGTAAGGGACGAGTGCAGGTGGCAATGTCTGGCTGATGCTCCTGTGTGCTGTGCCTTGCAGGTATCAGTGCTTCAAATCAGCCTGGATGTACCAAGTCCTTCATGAGGGCTTCCAGTTCCCACTGGACTACCCGAGCCTGCGCACGGCCCAGCTGGTGTACGACCGGGAGGTGCAGTGGACACTGGGAGCCATCCTCTACAAGACAAGATTTCTGCCACTCAGGTACTGTCGGTTCACTGATGGCATCATGCAGGGAAGGGTGGTTGGGGAGGAGTAGGTGTAACTGCACTAGGTGAGGGCTTTGCCATCCCCAGAAGGGGGAGCGGCAGCACAAACCATGGCAGGACCCTGGCCAGTCCTGATGTTTCTCTCCACAGGGATCTCCGTCAGGAGAGCATCCGGCAAGCACATGCCTCCTGGCTGCGCCTCTCTTTTGTCTACAACCACTATCTCTTCTTTGCCTGCATCCTGGTGGTAGCACTGGCCATCGTCCTCTACCTCCTGCGGCTGCGCCGCATCCACCGCCGGCAGCTGCGCATGGCCCAGCACACCCTGCTCTGGCTGGACAAGGTGGTGGTGCCTCTGGGACAGGGAAATGTGCCATGACACCGGTGGTACCCACCATCCAGTTGCACCAGCAGAACCAGGACTGGCTGACAACCTGGGCTCCGAGGGCTTGGACTCTTTCTTGAAGACCATCTCAACTCTGCACTCCATCATCTCCACATCAGAAACAGAGCCTGTGGGCTGAGGCACCTATGGATGCTGGAGCTTTCCTCTCCACCTTGCCCCAGTCCTAATCTTTGTATTCCTTGCCCTCTGGCCTGTGTCTCACTATATGGTGTGGAGCAAAGTCCTCTGCTGCCAGCGGGCTCAAGGCTGCAGCCCTGGCAGGTCCCTCAGATAACAGGACGCTATCACTGAGGCAGCCAACCTAGGACTGTGGCCCGAAGCACTGGGCCACCCCATGACTCAGCCACTAGTTTGCAGAGCAACCTGGTGAGGTGCTGTGGTTCATCACATGGGGTGGCCTTTCTGCAGGCCCTGACAAGCCCACAGGCTGGAGAACAGCAGTCACTAGCAAAGTTACTGCAGGAACCAGGTGATCAGGAATGAGTTCCACCAGGCTGCTCTGCCCAGCCTGGCCCCTCTTTGAGCATTCCTGAAAAGGTATCGTGCCCTTTGCCATGTCTTACCCTCCTAGGACAATCCTCCTACCAGCATCCCAGACTTGGCCCTGAGGGGTGACCAATTGGTTCCTAAGGCACCACCAAAGTGGGCAGCCATTCCTTTCATACATTCCCTCCAGGGCACATCTGCCCCGTGGAGTCCCACACATTAACTGGGCACTAGTGCAAGGACCTGTGGTTCTGTCCCCCCTGAGCGCAGGCTGGGCCTGCCCACGGGAGAACCACCCCCAGTCCAGCTCAGAGCCCCAGGACACGTCCAGGCTGTAGCTGTGCACAGAGGCACAAGGCTTCCTCCCCTGGGGCTGGAGCCCACTGATAGTCCAATGAACTTTGTCACTTTTTACTTGAATTCAGCTGTTCCCATTCCTGTAGCAATAAACAACCCCCTTGAGCCATCCAGCACTGGTCTTGTTTTCTAGGGAACAGCTCCCCAGCAGCACTTGCTCCTGGCTGGTAGAGTGGCTGGGAGGCTGCACATCTGTGCTGGCATGGCAGGATGATGGAACTCCTTTCCTGTTCCCTGTTATCCAAGCAGGACTGCTGAGCTGGTAGCATGGGGAGCTCTGATGCAAACCAAACTGTTGTGATCCTTGGAGACAGCATCCTTTGCTGCCCTCCTCCTAAGAGGAAAAGCCTGCCCACTCAGAGCTCCTGGAAGATATTAGTCCCTGTTTTTTACCTTATTTCCCACCCCAGTCTCATAGAGCTGCCTGGCAAAGAGGCCACTAAGCTGCTCCAGCTGCTGAACAGGCATGGAGATGGAGCCAGCATGGCTGCCTACTGTGAGAGGCTGGGCAGACAGCCGATTCTCCCTCTGGCACATACTGTTGCCTACTTGTGACCCTGGTCCCACAGCATGAGTGCACAGGTGCCATCAAGGATAAAATTTTCCATGCACCAGTGTGCTGCCAACCTCCTGCTCAACAGCTGAGGATCCCAGCCTTGTTCTCATGCTGCAAGAGCAGTGTTAGGGGGAAGGAAAGATGTCTAAGTAAGGCCAAGACTGTTCCTCAGCCTCAAAGCAGCAAATGACTCAGCCTCCACCATCACTTACTAGAAAAAGGATTTATTTCCACAACACAAATTGAACACAGACAAATAAATAAATAAATACAGATAAATTATCTCATAAATAAGGGGGAACCTAAAACACAACGCCCTACTGTGTTCTTCTCACAACCTGGACCCATGTCACTGTGGTGGAGATACCTAGACACTACTGCAGCTGCCTCACTGCTGAGGTGGGAGACACAGCCCTCCTTTCATCCCCTCCAGCAGACCCCAACACCTCCCTTATCACACTTAAGGGGGTCTGCATGCTCCTCCAGGGTCAGCCCTCCCTTCTCCCACCCACAGCCACAATCTGTCTTAGCAGGGACCACCCCCACCACAGAAGACAGACAGAGGTTGCAATGGTTCCTGCCTTCTCATGCAGAGGGGCAGCTGGTGCCTGAAATGACCGGGGATAGGGCAACGAGGTGGGCAGCTTGGGCTACGAGCAGGGGTTTCACTTGGGGGCTAGGGCTGAGTGCTGAGGGAACAGGGCAAGCTCTGCTGGGACAGGATCCACTGGAACCCCACCACACAGATCCCTTGCAGGATAGTGCTCAGTGACGGCAGCACTCGGGCAGCTGAAGGGATCTCTCCCTGGCTGCTCCCAGTGCCAGCTTACTAGGCCCTTGTCCAGGGGTGCTGCCTGCCATGCTCAGGGGCTGAGCCATCATCGGTCCAGGTTGCAGTGCTCCAGGTGCGCTGGGGCAGCGGGTCCAGCCTCTGTCCCAGCACCTCTGGGGGCTGCCTGGTACAGGAGGGTAGAGGCTGGAACAGCTGCAAGAGCTGGGGGAGGGAAAAAGGAGGAGAAGTTAACATCCAAGAGGAAGCTCCCACAAATCTAGAGAACCACGGTGCTTGGTTTGCTTAGGCCCAGCATAGAGGCAGCAGCCCCATATGGAGACCAGCTCACCACAGCCACAATGCACAGAAGCCAAAGCATCTCCCCAAGCCTGGCAAGGGCCAGGCTGCAGCTCCCTCCCCTGCCTGAAAGAGGCAAGCAAGCGAGGACATCTCTGCCACCCCAGCCCTCTGCCCACTCACGGTGACGGATTTGGCAGGGGGGTCTCGGTTCAGGCGTCGGCTCCTGGGAACTGCTCACTCCCAGAGGAAGCGCACGTACCAGATGGTCTCGTTCTTCAGCTGCGGCCCGAACAGGGGGTTGGCCTGCGCCAGGATGGCGATGAGCCAGCTGCAAAGGGACCCAATGTGCCATCAGCCCCGGTGGCATGGAGGCAGGGCCAGAGCACCCAGGGGGTGACGGGCCCGGGAACGAGGCGGACTGCAGCCCGGGTGCAGCCCGGGTGCTGTCACGGGAAGAGGCTGGGCAGCAGCCACCGGGCCCGGCGAAGCCAACGGAGGGCAGGGGA